CAAGAGGGCATTACTGGGGTGGGGGTGGGGGTGGGGGAAAGGCTCAGGTCTCAGGTTTTCTTTTTCCTTTTTTTGAGATGGAGTTTTTGCTCCTGTTGCCCAGGTTGGAGTGCAATGGCACAATCTTGGCTCACTGCAAATTCTGCCTCCCAGGTTCAAGTGATTCTCCTGCCTCAGCCTCTTGAGTAGCTGGGAATACAGGCTCCTGCCACCACGCCTGGCTGATTTCTGTATTTTTAGTAGAGACGGGGTTTCACCATGTTGACCAGGCTGGTTTGGAACTCCCGACCTCAGGTGATCCACCCACCTTGGCTTCCCAAAGTGGCTGGGATTACAGGCATGAGCCACCGCACCCTGCCTAGGTCTCAGGTTTTCTATTCGGTAGTAAGGACTCTTCCTTTAGGTTCTTACCTCATACCCGCATACCCTGTACTCCACCCCACAGGCAAGATTCCTGGAAGTAAAGGGCAGGTGCAACTTCAAAGCAGATGGAGGCCTGGGGTGGGGAGAATAGCTCCTGTTCTCCTGGGTAAAACTGGCTTGGGCTTAGAGAAGAAGTATTTATTTCTTCCCTATCCCCCAGCTACACCCCTGCTCTCTCTGTTCTCAGGAGTTCCCATTCCAGTCTTGGGCACAATTCAACTCCACTACGGGCAGCCCTCTCCTCCTGCCCATATCCTAACATTCAGCCGGCCAGCCTTCGTGTTTTGCTTGTCTGCCTTTGCCCAGCAGCAAACAGGGATCTGATACCAGCTCAGAGCATCCAGTGTCCATCCAACTATGCTTTGGCCTGCTGAGGTGGGCCCCTGAAAGCAGCCACCAAATTGAGTACCTCCCTGCCTCCAGACTCCCAACACCTCTCCTGCAATTCTCCACTCCCAGAATCTCATATGGGGCCAGCCACTATCTGCAGATCTCTCGTCTTTTCCTCACAACCACCCATAAGCTAGTACTAGCACTGAATAGATTGGGCCATCTGAAGTTCAGAGAGGTTGAGTAACTTGCCTGAGGTCACAGAGCTGGTGAGTGGAGGAGCTAGAATCCAAATTAAATGTTCAAGCTCCTTTTGGAATGGAGAGAGGTATAAAAGCTGCTTCTCAGCTAGCCCTGTAGACTGGGAGGTGGGGGGGAACTCTGATCCAACTAAAGGGAAAAATGAGGTGGAGACCAAGATCATTCCCAGCCTGACTTGAGTGTCAGGCACCTCAGCCCCGCCCCATCACACACATCCTGGCATGGGGAGCTAACACAAGCAGGAGGAAAGTTGAAGGGTCTGGAGGCCACCGAGAGGAGTAGGCAAAAGGACGACAACGGGGCTGGAGAGAGACCCCTAGAGGTGTGAGGGCAGGGTTGGAGCCAGCCTTGACCTACGACTGCTCTCTCCTGGTAAGCAAAGCCGAGGAGTGTGTGTCTTCGCCCTCTCATACACTCTGACAGTAAACCAGTAAATGAGGACGTGCGCTGGAAGGAGACGCCAGGGATACGACTTTAGCCAGTAAAAGACCCAGGTTAAAGAGACAGCCCCGCACCTCCGCTCGCGAGCCTCCATCCCCATCCCCATTCCCCTCCGCCAGCGCAGTCGGCGGCACGGCCCCTCCCTGTTACCGACCAGATCGATCGGGATCACCCGTCCACTCGCCTGCCCCTTGCGGAGGTCAACGTGACCGCAGTCTGTTTCAGGCCCGGAGACAAGCTGTCCAGCCCAGCTCGGGTCACGGTCCCCGCAGGGTCCTCTGGCTCCCTGGCCCGTGCGCGCCACGTGCTGCGCGTCTCCTGCCCCTTGCGGAGGTCAACGTGACCGCAGTCTGTTTCAGGCCCGGAGACAAGCTGTCCAGCCCAGCTCGGGTCACGGTCCCCGCAGGGTCCT